TGAATTTTACAAACATACCTAAAACATCAATAAACATAATTTAACACATTTCATTTCATCTATTTCGTGTTTTAAAAATGTATCTCATTTAAGTGTGGATGTAAACTGTAATCAGTATAGCTCCTACGAATCACCACAGCACAGAGGCTACGACATAGATTCTGATTAGAATTGCTCAAGCATACAGCAAAATTATAAACTTCATGCATTTTACAAACATACCTAAAACATCTGTAATTGTATCAATAAATATAATTTAACAGATTTCATCTATTTCGTGTTCTAAAAATGTATTTTGTTTGTGCGGACGTAAACTGTAATCAGTAGCTCCTACGAAACGCCACAGAACGTACAGAGGCCACGGCATAGATTCTGATTAGAATTGTTCAAGCTCGCAGCGAAATTCTAAACTTTGATGAATTTTTATAATTCACTCGTTTATTCTAAACATATATTATTTTAGTATGCTATTTCAGACTACAAAATTTATCGTCATGCAAAGTTTTATCGAAATCAGCCTAGCTGATTTTTACCAAAAACTAATTAACACGACTCCCAACCAATATCTTTCGAACATTTTCTGAATTTTGAGAATCGATTCCGAAGTATGAGCTAAAACGTGGACAAAAATTCTACATTCTCTTTGATCATATATACACAAAATTATTATACATTATGTATTAGAGATCTAAAGAAGTATTGAAAAGAAAACTATGTGGGAGAGGCATTTGGCCTTAGGACAAGTTGCCAGAACTTCCCTAAACAAAATAAAATAAATATTTGATATAAACAATAACAATTGAAATTTAGCTGTTTAGATGAAAATTATAAGTTTTTATTCCGAATCTTATGTTTTAACAAATAACTAACAAATAACGGTGTATGGCATCGTGCCTTAAGGCAAATTGCTGCAACTTTCCGTATTTTAATAAAATATTCGAATAATCTAATTTAATAGATAGATAGATAAAATTAAAAAAAAAAATTAAAGATTAAAAAAAAATTTAAAAAAAACCTTACCCAACATCAATTGTTTCGTCAACACAAGCAGAAAGATTTTTAAATCATTCAAATCGTAAGCTTAGTTCCCTCAAGAACTGCCGTTTTTTGCAAATTTAGGTCTGTATCTCTGAAACGGCTGGACGTGCCTTTGCCAAAATCTAATCACCACTTTTCCACATCATTACGAATCGGATGTTTTTTGGATCATTCAAGTCGGTTGATCCGTTCTCTTAAAAACTGACATTTTTGGCACTTCTTGCTCCATATCTCTTAAGCCGGTGGACCTGCCTTTTTCAACATTTTCATTTTCGGCCCATTACTATAACTTACCCTACTTGAAGTTAATCAATGCGGGTTTTAATTGTTATAGTGAAATCAAACTTAATATCTGTAATTGTATTATTATTAGTTTTAGTCTACCATACCCGCTCCAGCTACTTTATATTTTAGGACATTCGTTCCTTAAACTCTGTCGCTATGTTAAGATTCATTGAAAATGTAAACTAAATTCTCAACAATAATTATGAAAAAAAAAACGATTGATCTTTCCTGAAAACTAATCAGCACTATTTACAATCAATATCTCTCGAATGGCTAAAACGTCCAGCAGTTTTTGAAAAAACGTCGACAAAAGGTCAAAAATCGGCACACAAACATAATTTGGTTCAGACTTGGAACGTCGCGAAAACATAAAATTAGCATGTCGGATTTTTGGTAAAAAACTAGCTTTTTCTTCAGGATGTTGGAAAGTTTTCATAAGATATATTTAATATTCAATTGGAAAAACGATGTTTACAAAGATAGCAGAAATCAGAAACCTTATTTGTATTTGTTGTTATTATTATCATAATGAGTTATTGGATGCATTCGGAGAACTATATTTAATGATCATTTGTATGCATCGTGTTGCATTAAAAAAGCAGATACAGAATCGTAAAATCAATGAAACGACGCAATTCAACTAGTTAGCATTCAAGAAGAGTGGCGACCAGCTGTATGTCGTCAAAGGTTTCTGTCTGAAATTCTATTCGTACAAAATGTCCAATTTAGACATTAAGTACATATTTGTAAAATGAATATAAGAGTCGCTAAATAAATATCACATCCAGCTATAATTTATCACTACAGATTAATGCCAGTGTGCAATAATTTATAAGCCATAAATAAATATGCCATAAAATGTGTGAAATTCAACTCGTAACTAGTTGGTATTTTGCCTTGAGGCAAGTTACACTAACTTCCCGATATGTATAAATATTCGACTTAATCAATGAAAAATCATTTCATTTATGAGTGATTAAAGGTATACCGAGTGGATTTATTACGCATAATTGAAAACTAACGATCACGTTAACTCTAGTATTTTCTAAAAGCAAATTTTCAAAAATCAATAATTTTTATAATTGTACCAGTTTCCGTGAGGCTTTAATGGTTTAATATGTTCATTATGACCAAGTACTCTATATTTATACCAAGTAAATCGTCTAATTTTAATTTTAACATTTTTTCAAACTTTGATCAATTTTTAAAATTAAACTACATGTCGTAATAATTCAGTATGTTCTATAAGACCATGATATATATTGCCAAAAAAGTTCCATAAAAATCGGCTCAAATTTTTTTTCAACAGCTAATTACAAAAAAACGGCTCGGAAGATTTTCACCTAAAACTAATCAGTATCATTCCTATCAACTAATCTTTCGAACAGTTTTTGAATTTTCAAAATCAATTCAGAATTGCGAGCTAAAACGTGCACGAAAATTTTTTCACTTTTTTACTATTTATGAAGAAACGGCTTGGTCGATCGTTGCACAAAACTGGTGAACGCGAGTCCTCATCGAGATACATCGGAAAGCTGTTGAATTTTTATCGGTCCAGCCGTTTTTGAGAAAACATTGATTTACGGCAAAAAATCTGTTCACACTCACACACACCGACATACTTTTCCAAATTTGGTCTCATTCGATTCAGAATGGTTTGAAACGTCGAGAAAACAAAATTAGCGAATTGGATTTTTTGATGAAAACAAACTTCTCCTTCGGGAAGTTAAAAAATATTGCTTAAGTCTTATACAGATGTTTGTCATATCACACTCAAGCCGGTCAGGTCATTTTTCGGGTCAAAAGCGGCAGTGTTAAGTTATACTTAATTCGTACACCTGATGCAAATATGAATATTTTACTGTATTTTACATAAATGTGTTTTGTGGGAACGTACTTGAGAGTACGGGCTTTTAAAAGAAACCTAAAAGCTCTGAAAAACATGACCCTTCTTTCTGCGACGCATTGCGATCGCAAGCCTTATTGATACAAATCGAACTCACCAATTCATTTTATCATGTACTTGATAAGTTATTTTTCTATTCACTAATTTTATTATTATTATTGCTAGTGCTCTGCGCGAAGGCAGGTACATAGAAATAAAGTTACCTTTTTCTTCTAGAGATCACATTTCTGCTTCCATGCGCCATCGCCTTCAATTTCCAGAATTTAAAACATTTTCCATTAGAAATGATATACTCAGAAGTATGAAAGAGCCTAAATAGACTATATAATGACTTGCTGAACTTCCTAATAACCTAGAAAGGAAATCCTAATAACCTAGAACAGAAAGATTTTGAAAAATCATTGGCCTATTAATACAAACAAGTAAAAATCCATCATCTTTTTTCGTACTATCATCAATGAAAATGATATAATTATTGAACATAGCATTGTTTGTAAGTTACCGATGATTGTTTTAATATCTTATGCATAGATAATCAAGAAAATAATAAAAAAAAATAATTAAGCGTGTACTTACCTTACCAAACTAAATTAAGATATCCAGATAATCATTATGAAAAATTCAAAATCTTCCCACAACTAATTGTAAAAAGATTTTTAATTTTTCATGAACTCCATTTTAATTTCAAATAATCTCCAATAATCTGTGGTCCTAATTCTCTAAATAAAGCTAATGGCCTATCCTTAATTTGGCACACCAGCTAATAAAAATGTAACAAATTTTAGTAACAAGATAAATTTGTATGCAAGTAATATTATTGAATGGATATTTAAATATATATAAATTTTATAAGACATATCAATTAAATGAAATTAAATTTTATGGACTACTTAAAGAAGAATTGAAAGAAAAAATAATATACCAAAAATATTATAATAAAAAATGATTATATATCAATCTTTTTATGTAAAATTAATTATATCATGCTAAAATTAGAATGTGAATAAAAACAAAAAATCAGTTATTAAAATTCTATATCACCTTATTTTATTTAAACATTTTAATTTTTATTTGCTATTAAATAAATAACAAAAAGAAATGACAGAATATATTAGTAAGGATGGAATGAGATTTTATACCTATGATCAAACCAATTTTCACATATGAATTTCTTGTACTTATCTTCACAAAGGGTTTTCCATTTTAAACAGATGTGGAATCGTATATTAAAAACTTTGCTTAAAAAATAAATAATTTTAAATAAATACGTTACTTATGCATAAATTATTTATATATTACAAAATTCATTAAGTTAAGTAGTACGATTGAATCAATATCTATTATGTATTTTAGGTGTCCTTATTTCCTAAGCAATACTTCCCAATGTGTATGATATACATGTAATATACATACGCATATAAAAAAATAAATTCCACATCTAGTTATAACAAAATATACATGTAAACTGAACACTGTGCCACAATACTACAATTAGTTGTCATTTAAAATGCATGTACATAAATCCATGTACATCATAATATTTATATCTTATTGAATATATATATATATATATATATATATATATATATATATCATAATATTTATATCTTATTGAATATATATATATATATATATATATATATATATATCATAATATTTATATCTTATTGAATATATATATATATATATATATATATATATTCAATAAGATATAAATATTATGATGTACATGGATTTATGTATTATGTATACCATTTTGCAATTTCTGTGCTTGTTTACGGACAGCTATGTACAAAGATTAAGTTTGCAAATCACTTGATTCATTCTAACTGAAACATTGACACAAAACATTATTTTAAATAAAAAAGTCCTAAATATCTTTTTTATTATAATTCTGAATGGTCATCATCTTTATCATCTTTCGTTAACGTTTCTTCTAAATTTTCTTTATTACTTTCGTTATCTGATTGATCCTCACTAAATTCAGATGGTAAAATATCTTCATCGTCATTAGGTTTTGTATCATTTTCTGGTTCTTCTACAATTGGCTTTATGTCTTCTGGGTTTTTAACAGTTTCACTATCGTTAGCTGTTCTTGGCTTCTCTGTGGTTTTTGGTTTCCATATTTTAATTTTGTTAACTAAATACTTGACTTCTCTATCTAAAGCTGCCATTTTGTCTGTAAGAGCTTTGATGGTTAATTTAACTGGTTCATTTTTCTTAGTTTCATCTTGCTCCTTAATCATTTGTTCCAACCATTCTGTTGTTTCGTTTATGATTTTTTCTAGAGTTTCAATTTCAACTTTTGTAAATACATCTTTATCTGGATTGGCATCTTTGGTTAAATTTTTGGCAGTAGCTAGGAAATTACTGGATCCATTCAACATTGAATGAATAGCTTTCACTGCTTCTGGCCTTTCGTGGTGTTCAAAATGTTTTTCATAAATTCCTAAGGTTAATTTTTGTAATTCATGCAATTTATCTTCATATTGTTCTGCTGTGGCATCAACACCTTCATCATAAATCCAATCAGAGACTTCAGAGCACATTGTTTTAATTTTTTCTATTTCTTCTTCTACGCCACACTCTGTATATTCTTCAAGATCCATCCTCAACTGTGCTTCGATAACAAAACTTTCCAATTGGTTCAAAGCTGTTTCTCTGTGTTGCCTTTCAGCATCTAATTTATTCAAAGTTTCAATTTTCTTGTAAGATTTTTGGAAATCATCATCAGTCATAAGATTCAATTTCAATGTGTTCACCATTTTTACAGGTTCTTTGACTGTAACAATTTTAGGTTTTCCAGCAGATTCCGTTTTATTACCAGTGTCAGTTGACGTTACATTTTCTTGGCTAGCAGTGGTATTTGTAACTGTAATGTTTAGTTTTTTATCATCTGCACTGGTTTCTTCAGTTCCTGGAACTTCTTTCTCATTTGCTTCTTCTGTTTCTGGTTTCTCAGTTTTACCTGAAAATAGATTGCTAATCGTGCTTCCAAGTTTTGAGAGCGTGCTTTCTTCTACATCTTCCACTTTGCGTTCGATTACGAAATCAACATTGAGCAACCTGAAAAAAAACTAGGTGTAAGTGGCATTTTGCCTTAAGGCAAGTTGCATGAACTTCCCGATACGTGTAAATAATCGACTTAATCAATAAGAAGCGGACGAGCTTTGTCAATAACCAATCAGCATAACTCCCAAATGATATCCTTCGAACGTTTTTAAATTCCCAATTTATTTTTGATGATTTTTTGCCAGAAGGTCATTTTTTTTGCAATTTTCTATTATATAATATAGAAAGAGTTTGACCGATTATTCTACAAAACTGATAAACGAGAGTCCTTGTCGAGTTTCATTGAATGGCTTCTAAATTTTGAAAATATGCCTTTTTCGAAAAACCATCTAAACACACACATACTTTTTCCAAATTTGGCCACAAACGATTCAGAGTGAGTTAAGACGTCGAGAAAAAAAAGTAGCAAGTAGAATTTTTTCGTATAAACAAACTTGCTTTTCAGAAAGTTTAAAATAATAAACGTACCAATTAGTGCTTATAAATAAGAAATAAATATATTAATTTATAAGTTTTCATATGATTATTTTAGAGAAGATATTATTATTTTAAAAATCATAAAGCAAGTTGATATTGTTAAAAATATTATTTGAATATATTAAAGTTGAATTAAGATTTGACTAACTAATCAACTTTAAAGAAAACAATAATATATGCAGCTGTAATTACGTAAATTAAACTAAGTTATTCACCACATTTTATTTTATCCATTTTGGGTTTTAAAAATGTATTATTTCTAAGTCATGCTTCGGCTTGAATTCGGATTCTGATTAGAAGAAAGCAACGAAATTGCAAACTTCAATTAACTTTTATAATAAAACCGTATATCAAAGTTATAACTTTAATAGTTTATTATGTTATGTCAAACAAAATTTCATCAAAATCTTGGAGAAACATCAAAAACTAATCAACTCGATTCACAGGATAAAAATCGGCATTCGATTCAAATTGACTTGAAACGTCGAAAATACATAAAATAAAATATGTATTGAAGTATGTATGAAGTATGTATATAAAATATTACTTACAGGCTTACTTATTCTTATTAGAAAACTGTTTAAAATTTTTGCTATATGGCCCATTGTAGAAGATTGATAGTTTCAATTATCAAAAAACGTTGTAATAACGGTTAAAACAAAAACTTTCCTACAATTCAATTATTATAGTATAACTCACCTTAGTACTCCAGAATCATCCATTTCAAAATGGGCCTTTATTCCTTTAGATTCCTCTGTATTTTCCTTTACACCTTTCACCAAATCAGTAACACCATTAAGCTTCACTTCACTGATAATTTCTCCGTTAAGATCAATATCACTGAAATCATTTGAGGTGCTTTCTTCCTGATTTGCACTTGCAGAAGAATACTTTACTTGGAAATCAAAATCGCGCTGATGTTTGTTGAAAGTAATAACTTTTTTCTGGGGATAGGGGTTCATTGAACCGAATAATGTGCGTTTTGATAACTTTGTAGATTGATTGTCGGTTGGCTCATCGCCTTCGGTGCTTGCTCTCTCAAATGTCACCTGAAACAAAAAGGATATATAATAAATAAGGTATTGACCAATGGCAAAATTATTTTAAACATCGTAAATGATGATAAATAATTAGTAATTAATTTTTCCTAAGCAATTACAAAATTTACAAAATTTACAAAGTAGTACGCCTAATACTTGAATAACAGTACGGTCAATCGTACGTTATTATTTAAAAAAAAAGTAGTATAAAACAACTATTTAATCAGAATAGTTATGTTGAGTATATAAATTAATACTATACTAATTATTCTAATTTACTAATGATATTAATTTATTAATCAATTACATCAATCTTTCTTTAATGATTAAGGCCGCTAGTCGGTAAAAAAATAAAAGAGATTGTTTTGTCTTGAAAATAATTTCGATACAATAAAGACAAGAAAATTGCAATTTAGAAGACAATATTTTTACTCCATTTTATATAATTATGAAATCTTCAAATGACTCAAATAGTGGACTTACATTTTTACATAGTGAATATAAACAAGAAAAAAAAGTGAATCAAAGTCAAATCTCAAAGTGCAAACAAATTCTTGAATATAATGATATCATATTTTACTATATTTTATCATAATATTAATTAGAAATCAAAACAAAATTAATTGTAACATCGATAATCAATACAAAATAATAACTCAAAAAAAATTGCAGCGAATTTACGGTGGAGACGCCTTGTATATATTTTTTTTAAACAAAAACTGTTGATTTTTTACCGCATTTAAATTCAATTCAAATAACTTATTAGTTAATAATAATTGACAGAAATCCAAATTTAAACTTGACTATTTCCATAACATTTAATGTAGTATAAACATTATAAAAAAATAAATTGGGCGGAACTATGTAGCGTAAGTCACAAAAAGTACACCAAGAAAAAAATTGTATTAATGTAAAACATAATTCAAATATATACTAATTCTAATTCTAATATATAAGTCAAAGCATACTATAAAAGATATGATTAATAGTACAATGTGTTTAAAAAAAAAATCATATAAACTTTGGCTTTACAATTAAATTTTACTTTGAAAACCGACTTAATCATCATTTTCTTCCAAATACAAAGTATTATACTGCATATATTATTTCTAATAATAAAACTGCTTAATGCTGATACAATACAAATAAACCTGTTATGTACATTTACCAGATAATTATACTTGGCGGAAAAATACTATAAAAAATATGATTAATAGTACAATGTGTTTTAAAAAAAAATCATATAAACTTTTCTTTGGCCTTACAATTAAATTTTACTTTGAAAACCGACTTAATCATCATTTTCTTTTAAATACAAAGTATTATACTGCATATATTATTTCTAATAATAAAACTGCTTAATGCTGATACAAAACAAATAAACCTGTCATGTACATTTACCAGATAATTATACTTGACGGAAAATGTTATAATTGAGGCTCATAAAAAACATCAAATTTATAAAATTGATATTAAGGAAAAAAAATCTTAAAATATAAATTTGCTAAAAATTAAAATATGCATCAAAATAATGTGGAATTGCAACACATGGAGAATTTTCGCTAAAATAGCAGCAAATTCAAATTATTGTTATTTAATATTGAATAAAAAAGAAGAATGCTTACCTGGATAGGGAATAGAACAGCATCCCGCACATGGAACTGCTTTACCTTGAAACCTTTAGACAGATCAGCAGCTCGATATGCGGCTCCTAATGTAGCAGCTTCGTCAGCATTGATATTTTTGGAAAGTTCCATAGAAATCTTTTTATGCAACACTTCCTGCACTTTAGGAACACGAGTTCCAGCACCAACTAAGATAAACTGAAAAATAATTAAAAATAAGTTAGTAATCAAAATTTAAAGTAAAAATGTCAATAACAAAAAGTATTTGACTATTGAGACAAATACAATGTAAAACTGTTCTATTATAAAGTTATATATTTTATTTTTAAAAAGCCTAATATTACTTTATAGCATAATTTATTACCTGAGACATAATATCCATAGAAAGTCCAGCTTTACTTAAGGCCATGTCTATTGGTTTGGTAACTCTATCAAACAAGTCTTTACACAAGTCTTCAAAAGTTGCTCTTGTAATCTTAAATCCAAATTTCAAATATACAATTTATTAACAATTTAATATAAATCAATTTTATTACCTGCAATCTATAATCTTTCTCATCTATTAAACCTTCTACTTGTGCGAAATGATCATTGTTAGCTGATAATACTGTTTTTACTCGATTAGCTTCTTTAAATAATTTAGCCATAGCTCTTGCATTTTTAGTGATGTCGCTTGATGTTTTCTTCTGGGCATTGAATTCCTTTGCAAGATAGTTTTGAAGACGTAAGGTCATTTCTAAACCTCCTAAAGTTCTACAAATAGAAAAGAAGTAATATATAATTAGAACTATACCACGTCCACAAAACAAGATAAGTTATTTAAATTTGTTTTAAAAAATTAAAAACATGCAATATAATATAAATTACAATTACCTATCATATCCAACTCCAATAACTTGCAATTGTGGATTGGTTTCAACATATCCTCTGTCTTTAGTCTTCACAATTTTGTATTCAACAATAGTTGCTGTTGTTTTGTGAGCCCCCATATCATAAAACATTATGTAATGAGAAGTTTCATTAATTTCCTTTCTGAAATATAATATTGATGATATTAAATAATTTTTATGAAAATAATATAATTAGTGAAATAATTTATTTTTTAAATTTTATGTTACAAAGAAATAAACAAATAGGCGAGTCAGATTGTAAGATTTCTAAAATTTAGAGAAAATTAGAAAATCTCAAGAAAATTATATGAAAACATTTTCTAAATTATGTATCATTTTATACATAACTTTATTATGCATATTTTCTCCTAACAAACTATTTACATTAGGCTAACTGTATATTGTGTAGGATGAGATATGTGTGAATATTTAAATGTTTAACAATGATATGTAGTTGGCAAAATTATACATGAATTCGTCAAGCACCCATACAAAAAATTATACACCGTTAGATTCGTTTTCATTAATAAAATAATATCACTATTGATTTACATTTACCTTCTAAATATTCCATAGTTCAAAGCAACTGCAGAATAATCATTTATTAACTGCAATGGTTTAAGCTCTGCTAGGCTGGTAGCTTGTAACAATGCTAGTCTTTCTGCCTGACCAAAATAACCAGGAACTGTTAAGACACATTCTGTTATGATCTGAAAATAATAATAATAAATTAATGAGAGGTATGTTTGCTTTAATATCAAACTTGAATTTTAATTCAAGCAGTATAAAAATATCAAAGAAATATAAGAACATAAGAATCATATTTTATTTATATTTTATATTCAAGGTTCAATCTTGAATGGTTATTTATAAAATTTAATCAATCTATAATATAACGCTTACTACTAAAAATTATGATTATAAAATTTATATTCAACAAAATATGATTCATTAAACTCCTAATTTTATTAGTTTAATATGTAGCAATTAATAAGCACTATATATGAAAGATGAAGAAAATCAAAGGTATAAATTATTTATATCTTATTAGTATAAGACTGATTTTTTCTATACTAGATAAATTATTTTCATACATTCATTTTAAATATAAATAAAATATCCAATATTTCTTGATTACATACATATAAATATTACCATGCATATTATGTAAGTTATATATATTATGTTCCATATATTGTGTTAATATGTTAACAATGTATGTTAATTTGTTTAAAACGAATTTAGTATCATTGCAAATAATGTTCAAAACAAAACTAAGTTTATTTCTCAAAGAGGTAGAGGATTATATTACTTAAATTTTTGTCAAAAATCATCACATTCATATGGTAGTTAATCGAAGATTATTGTAAAATATTAATATAATGTCAGAAATGTGCAATTTACCTGTCCAGTAGAAATTTGAGCCATTTCACGAGCCTTTGACAATAATTGAGCAACTAGTTCTTCAACACTATATGTTGTGTCATCATCATGTCTAAACACTACTGTATTTCTCACTGGATCTGCTTCTATTTTATAATAAGGAAATCTGAAATAATTTTATATATTTTATGTTAATCATTATAAACCTTTAAATATATTTATGCAAAAACAATTATTATATATTATGATAAAATATTCAATAATCCATACCTTTTCTGATAAAGCTTAACAACTGGATGGTCTATACTCTTTCCAAGTAAATCTAACAGGTAAGCATAACTTTGTGCAGGAAACCGTACACCTATTGTTTGAGCATCTTCTCCAAACGACCGAATACCGTCCCTAAAAGCTACAACTGCTGATGTCTTTCGCTTAGATTCTTTATTTAAAACAATTTCCATGGGCACACCTGGTGAAACACTCCAACCTGAAATAATAGAAAAAGTCAAAATTATTTACATGATAAAATGACATGAATTACAACATATTATAATAGATATTAGCCTAAACAATCTGAAACTAATATATATTCAAAATTTTGTATTTTCCAAGTCAAAGATGTTCTGTTGAATACAACATAAGAATTTATACAAACAAAATATTTTAAACTGATCAGGTTTGATTATGTGAAGACTTATGCTAAGAAATAAAAATTTGCAAATAACTATATTTAGTCAAATAATATTACGCAATGGTTTAGGCAAATAACAATTATCAAATTTTATTATGATAACACTTAATGGTCGGTTCAAATTTTTTTAGAAAAATTTGATGAACATGGTATAAAGCATTATAACTGCAATGAAACTTTACTAAATCAACATTCATTTTTAAAATTCTATAATAGTAATTATTAAAGTGTTTAGTATTTCTTGAAGCATATAAACATTCATGCTTCATATAAATACAAAAATGGAGAGGAGCCTGTCCCTTAAGTGTTAATATATATAATATTTTAGGAATCACTAGACAAGCTTGATAATCGCCCAAAAAAAAAATATATCTTCATTTCAGATTATCATAATTCATTATTTTTATATACATATGTTGTTTAAAATAGGAAGTCTGATAATAAATGGCTATAACAAAAACGACATTTATATTATAACCAACATTGTTAAAAATCATATAGGTCGTACTATCGCATTATGGCAAATTAAATTGTGTATGTTGTGAATTTAAGACTTTTGAGTTCACATAAAGAATGAAAAAATTCATGTAAATTGAATTCACTAATTCATTAAAAGTAAAAGTATAATGAATTATATATCATTCAGTCACATTTCTAATTCATGATGCAATATTAAATTAAAATATGGCAAATTAGAAACTTTCATATATTAATGCAATTTATTTACGCAGAAGTTTGTTTTGACAAATTAGGTTACAATATGCATTATTAAAGCAATAATTGATTTTATTTTACCTTCATCCATTCATTCCCCAAGTCAACAGACATAACAGCAGCACTTTGCACATTATTTGACAGAAATCCAATCGTCAAACAGACGATTAAAACTACTAAAGAGTTCATGTTTAATAATACCTGTAAAAATAATTTATTCTATTCAGAAATCAGTACTTTAAAACATATTCAAAATTTTGTAAATTCCAGGTTATGTTCCCAAACACCGACATGTGCAATATGAAAGTATTTATGAAATTATTTCTACCTCTTGTCACTGGGAAAGCACTAAAAAACTAATTGAATTATCTAATAGAGGACATTAAGACCTTCATTAATGTAATATTTTTTATCACAGATAATAATGACGTGGTACAACAGAATAAAATATCTGACATTAATAATTTCTAATTCGAAGCTGTATGGAATTGTGTGTCGAAATGTCATTGGGCGAAGCAAATTCCTGCATACTTCACGCGAAACGATTTGCGAAAGGCGCCACTTTCAAATCGCAAAAAAGAAATTTAAATATTTAAATAAATCACTAATTATTTTAACTTGACTAGGTGTAGATTGCTTTAAGACAAATTTTATGCACTCTCCAATATTTGTAAATAATCGACTTAATCAATAAAAATTCAGATTTAGCAATTTTCAAATTTTGATAATAGAATTTTTAAATTTTGATGCATCTTTACAATTAAACCACTTTTTATAGGCTCACAATATTTTAGCATTTATTAACTTTCCGTAAAGTAGCATGATTAATATAATATCATCCGTGTATTTTCTTGCATATTATGAAATATTAAGCGTGGTCCACAAAAACTACGAAGAATGTTTTACTTGAAAACCATTATTTATGAATAACAATAATAGTTAAAATTTAAGGATGAAATAAATTAAAGGCAAATTTGATTAATTTAATGTGAACAGTAAATGTAGAACATAGAAAAATTGCATTAACACTTACTATGTTTATTTAATTATACAAATAAATAATTTGTTATTCCCAATAAAAGTTATATTAATTATATACTGTGCACAAGCTACATAAACCACATAACAATTACGCCTGAAGAGTTGCTTTTAACATTTTAGAAATGGTTCAGTGAACACAAGCGTTCAGGTAGTTTAATTGAATATTTAATTAGTTAAATTATTATTGATTTAATTAAACTAAGTGTCGGTGGAATTTTGCCTTCAGGCAAGTTGAATAAACTTCCTGATACGTGTAAATAATCGACAGCCAATAAAACCCCAACCCATTAGTTAAAAAATTAATGAAATTTTATAATTCGACCACTTTTAGCATTTAACAAAGAACAGAACTAATTACTATATTAGTTCTGACAAAGAATACATAATAACATAAACAAAACAAATACTAATTAGTTTTGACAAAAACGGCACATAAATATAGAAACAAGCTCATCAGTTATCCAAATTCACTAGAAAACTCTATTAACAGAGCAATCGATGTAGGTTGAAAAAAAAAACCCCACTGGATTTAAGTCATCAATTTTCCAGATAAAGATTGAAATAAATTAGTCATTATTCATAAGAAATTATTTATAAATAAATAGTTAAGATTATATCATTATCTATAAAATCATAGATAAGGAATAAAATATTGTTAATATTATATTAAGTTAACTATTAAGTTGTTTTTCCAACATGCCCATTCAGTATACCATGTCCCTTTACGGCTGGCAATTGTAAATTCACCAAATTTATTAAATGTCCTTAACTGGACAGATGTAAATAAAAAAAAAGAAATATATTTATTAATAGATAGATCTTTTTAAATAGATTCATAAATAGATTAGATGCTTTATCAAATTAGCAACGATAGTTTCACAATTATGATAATTCGCGTTATTTCTTAAACATAAATTAAAAAAAATAAATAAATAAATAAATTAGAAATAGATAATTATATTAATTAAATACTAAGTGGGAAATACCAATACCTTACTGTAAAGCTGTTTCAAACGACTTTTGTAGTCACCTTTCACTGTTAAAATAGTTTGTGCATACATACTGTGATCGCACAACCGAAGTATATACATATATTTATAATTTATATAAATACATGCATACATATATATATATATATATATATATATATATATATATATATATAGGATCTGAAACCTCGAACAAAAATTTATCATACTGCTTGATATCGAGCTTCGCTGAGGTTTGGGATCGAACTGAGACTATTTGGCGTCTGACGAAAAAAAACTTCTTCAAAATGTTAAAATGTATGAAAAAAGAATAGAATTTTTAAATGTTATGTAGCCGATTTATTTCTAACTGTGGATTATGATTAAATGTAGTAGTCAATGTAGCAATGTTATTACGGAATCGTTATTGGATCCACAGCTTAACTACCCATTTTATATCGTTTCCCACGGGCGATTGAGTAATCGCCCTTCTTTCAGAATTTATTACCATTTAAGAAGATTTTCAATTCGATGCAGATATTTCAGGTGGCAAAATGCGATAAAAACCGTTTTTTATTTTAAAACGAGCAACCGCTTCAACAGTTTATTGAGCAAATGTAGCAAATAGTTAATTAAATCGAGTCGGGTTATTTATAGTCAGATCTAACAACAACCATTAAAAGCTTAATAAACAAGTAATAAATTCAGTTTTGTACTTAAATTGATAGCCATAGAGATTTTATTGTGCAAGCTGATTTAAACTAAGATGCTGAATGCGCCGCAAAATTAACGTGAAATATCGTGATTTATAAGTGCATAAATTCAAACTAAGTATCTGCTAAACCAAGTAGCCGTTTTGAATTAACAATTTATATATGAAGCTAAATACAGTGGGTGCCTCGTATAACGAACCTAAATTAAAAGAGCAAGCTTGTGATATGAAATGTTAATGAAATTAATTCGTTCTGTTCTATGAAATATAGTCAAATTATATTATTTACGTAATTAGGAATTTTAAAATAAACAATAAAATATTTTGAATATATGCCATTCAACTATAGATATCAATCTCCAAGTTGAATATTTTATTTTAAAAATTCAAAGATGTCAAAACAATTTATTTACATAAATTTTGAATGCCCCAAATTGGCTGATCTAAAGTAGCCAACACAGTAAACGAAGAAATACGAACTCACAAAAGTACCAAAACTTCGAAGAATACCCAAACTTACTTGTCAGAGAAGTCCACCAGAACACCGCCTGGGCCACATTGAAAAGGAAATTCATTTTATATTAATCTAAGCCAATTTTATAATCACAATCATTGGTCAGATGATTTTGTATGTTTAAAGTTAATTTTTGTTCTTAAAATCTTACTTATCTTTTTAAGATAAGTGTTAATTGAAATAAGTTAATTATCAGTTATATTCAGAAGAGTGATCATTCTTTGCCCCTTGCCTCCAGAATTCTGAAAGAAATTGTCGATAGTTTTTTGTTTCATACTCTTCTTTAAGAATAACAAAAAGATGGAAAGCATATTATTGTGCAAATAGTTCATCCTATTAGTCTTAGCTATGTTTGAATGTAACATTACTAACATTTGTATAATTTTCACTTCTCTCCACTCCGCCAAAAATTCCTGTATATAGCACTAAAAAATTAGCTTATTAGCCTTTTTCTTCGTTATAACTGATAATCCTGTTCAAAAATTTCCTCAAAAACTTGGGATGGAGAAGGTGCATTATACAATAATATGAATTCTTTAAGTGTGAACTTTTTCCTATATAAGTAGGAAAGATCCTCTCTTTGAATATACTATCCAAGCCACCTGATTATACGTAACTGACAACTTACATTTTAAAATTATGACGATACAAACTCCCAAATTCAAAGTTTTATGAATTTTAGGGGAAGACCCTCACCCACACATTCGTAACAATATTACGGCCCTATGACAACTCGTTTAACTTTAAAAATTCGTCAAAGTTTGCAAAAATTGGTATCGTTTTTTGGCATTTGGCGAAATTAGACCTTTCATCAACGTTTGCTCAAAAACGCCTGAGCTGATTTCAGGAATTTAAAAGCCATTTCATGTATCTCAATCGTTT